TTCTTTTTTCTTTATTCTGCTCTGGGGTAGTTATTTCCACTGTTTTATCTTCCAGGTCACTTATCCATTCTTCTGCATCAGTTGTTCTGCTATTGATTCCTTCCAGAGAATTTTTAATTTCATTTATTGTGCTGTTCATCATTATTTGTTAGCTTTTTAGTTCTTCGAGGTCCTTGTTAAACGTTTCTTGTATTTTCTCCAATCTGTTTCCAAGATTTTGGATTATCTTTACTGTCATTACTCTGAATTCTTTTTCAGGTAGACTGCCTATTTCCTCTTCATTTGTTTGGTCTCGTGGGTTTTTACCTTGCTCCTTCATCTGCTGTGTGTTTCTCTGTCTTCTTGTTTTGATTAATTTACTGTGTTTGGGGTCTCCTTTTCTCAGGCTGCAGGTTTGTAGTTCCCGTTGTTTATTGGTGGGTAAGGTTGGTTCAGTGGCTTGTGTAGGCTTCCTGGTGGAGTGGACTGGTGCCTGTGTTCTGGTGGATGAGGCTGGATCTTGTCTTTCTGGTGGGCAGGGCTGCGGCCGGTGGTGTGTTTTGGGGTGTCTGTGAACTTAGTATGACTTTAGGCAGCCTGTCTGCTATTGGGTGGGATTGTGGTCCTGTCTTGCTAGTTGTTGTCATGGGGCATCCAGCACTGGAGCTTGCTGGCCGTTGGGTGGAGCTGGGTCTTAGCATTGAGACGGAGATCTCTGGGAGAGCTCTTGCCGATTGATATTACATGGGGCCGGGAGGTCTCTGGTGGTCCAATGTCCTGAGCTCGGCTCTCCCACCTCAGAGTCTCAGGCCTGACACCGGACTGGAGCACCAGACCCTGTCAGCCACATGGCTCAGAAGAAAAGAGAGAAAAAAAGAAAGAAAAATAATAATAAAATAATTAAAATTTAAAAATTATTAAAATAAAAAAATTATAAAGTAATTTAAAAAAAAGAAGACAGTAACGAAACCAATAAACAAATCTGCCAATGATAACAAGAGCTAAAAACTATACTAAGATAAACATAAAAATCAGAAACAAGTCGGTCGCAGACAGCAAACCCCAAGTCTACAGTTGCTCCCAAAGTCCACTGCCTCAATTTGGGTTGATTTGTTGTCTGTTCAGGTGTTCCACAGATGGAGGTACCTCAAGTCGCTTGTGGGGATTTAATCCGCTGCTCCTGAGGCTGCACAGAGATTTGCCTCCTGTTCTTTGTTCTCACAGCTCCCGGGGTTCAGCTTTGGATTTGGCCCCGCCTCTGCATGTAGGTTGCCCTCAGGCATCTGTTCCCGCCCAGACAGGACAGGGTTCAAGCAGTGGCTGATTAGGGGACTCTGGCTCACTCAGGCCGGGGCGGCGGGGCAGGGGGGTGGGGGGGGAGGGAGGGGTACGGTAGTTATAATTGTAATGCAGGGCAGGCCTGCAACAGCAGAGGCCGTGGTGACTTTGCAACCGCCTGAATTTCACCGGCTTTCCGCCAGTATTCTTTTATTGTTCCAGGGTCCCGTTTAGGTCCTACATGGATTGAGTTGCTGCTTTGCGTTTGTCTCCTGCAGGCTGTAACAGTTTCCCAGTGTTCCCTTGTTTCTTTGTGACCTTGACAACTCTGAGGACTATTGATTGTTATTTTGCCAAATATCCCTCAGTTTGGTGTTTTCACACAAGTGCACTGCAGTTATACAAACCACGGAAGCGATGCGCCCCTTTCAGTGTGCTGCGTCACGGGGTGCGTGATGTCAGTGTGGCGTACCGCTGGGGAGAAGCAGCGGCCTTCATTCCTTGGTTAAGGTGATTTCCGCCTGTTTGTCTTCTTACATCTTAGGTCTCCTCTTATCCTTTCGTGCTATAGTTACCACATAACTTGGGGAGATACTTTGAGGTTGTACAAATCCTGTCACCCCTCATACTTTCACTCACTGAGTTGGCATCCATCTGTGTATCTAGTCTGCAGCCCTTGGCTTCCGTGGAGTTTGCCTAATGATGATTTTCTGTTTCCCTCTCTCCTTCTGCGTTTATTCATTGGAATCCTACTGCAGGAAAGAGCTGCCACTTCTCCTCCATCTATATATGTAATTGATTATTTACATCAGCATGGACTCACGGGTATTTATTTTATTCCATGGATTATAATTCAGTACCATCACTATTTATTTTGTTGCTTAAACTGTCCTTGTTTTGGCCATTAGAAGCTCTTTTGTGTTCTTCCATCTATATATATATATATATATATATATATATATATATATATATATATACACACACACATAGCTTTTTTCTTTTCTCAGCATCTCATTTCTTGACGGTTCCACAAGGTGTCTGCTCTGAGCTCGTCTTGTATTTTCCTCTTCTCTGGCCCTGGATTCAGCCACTTTTCTAAGCAGCTCTGATTCCTTTTCCTGGAGAAGTGTTTAGAAAACAAGATCTGGGCATCAGGTGTGCTCATTACCGCTGGGGTCTCATTGCTTCTAGACCCTCTTAGTGGACAGACCTAGGAAATGTATATGTGGACGCTAACACATTCATGTGCACACAGCTCTCTGTCTGCATCTTCAGAACCACGACTATACCTATATCCTGGATTCCAGGTCAACGGCACAGAGTTCATTTTCATCTTCCCCTTTCCGTATCTCGAACTTCTTCCTCCAGAAGTGAGGTATCTGGGACTTACTCTCTGTAGCATACTTATTTGGCCAATTCTAGTTTACACGTAACTTACTTTCTGAATTGCTGACCCGTACCCCCATGAGAAACACATTTACTGACTAGATTCTAGCATTTCTGTGCAGCCAGGATACTGTTTTCTTCAGTTTCTCAGGTTAGATCTGTTCCCCACCCCTTCGCGTGGTCGTGTTCTTTACTTGTGGTGGAGTGAGGTTTGCCTTCTATCTGGGTTTCCTCCCATATCCAGATTTTTCAAAAATCCATCTTTCGCCAGTGATTTGGGATGCCACCTTTGTCACATACCGTGTCCACACGTGTTGGGGTCTATTCTGGACATCCTGTTCCAGCCCTACTAGTCGTCTGTGTGTTCACGCTTTGAATCACAGAGGTTCTAGAGGGCGTCTTAACGTCAAGGAGAGCTAGTCTCTTGTTTTTGCTTTCTCAGTGTTTTCCTGGCAATTCCTGCCTGTTGCTTTTCCTGTGGATGTAAAATCTTGCTCTAGTCTGAGTGGGGTTGAGTCCGGAACGGGGCTGCCTTCCCAAGGACGGGGTGCAGAGATGTGGGAGTTTGTGGTTATGCCGCATGCACGCCGGGCTTCCTGAAACTCAAGGATCAAGCAGAAAGGGAAGGGGAACCTCTGGGTCCTTATTTTAATTTCATAATGTATTTCCTTCGTGAGACTGCCCCTTGACATTAACTTCCCTAGCAAAATATTTCCAGGGTTTTCATTCAGAAGCTGTCATACCTAAGAGGGCATAGATGGCATCTCCTGACGGGCAGGGGCAGGAGCTGGCATCGGGGCTGCTTAAGGCAACGCGGTGTCTTCAGGCTGGTGCAGAAGGTGCGTTGTCTCACACGCAGTCCCGGCGGCTGTAACGACTCCCGCAAGGGGTCAGCTCCCTGCCTGGTGCCAGGCTCTGTGCTGGGCGCTGCGCTTTCAGGCACGCAGCTTGGCACACAGGGCGATGTCATCCCCAAGCCCCTGGCCAGCAGGTCACACCAAAACAAGCTCCAGCCGTGGAGAATGTCAGCAGAGCAGCAGCCCCCAAAGCACGACTTCATCACGCTTGAGAAGATTTAATAGATTTAATTCTTCCCTGATGATTTTTAGAGGGTGAGATCAATGTTGCTAAGACAGGGTGAGGTTAGAAGCATGTCAGTGACAATGTTCTGTGCCCTGTAGGTTTACCCTGGATCACTGGGAATTCTTAAGACACAGCCCCGTGATGACTTCATTCTTGTTCCTCTGCACTGCACTTGCCAGCAGAGCTTTGGTGCCTTTTTGTACCATTTTAATTCCCTACCCTTGATCTGACCTTGTAGTTGGAACCAGCACGTCACAGCTGAGAGTCTCAGAAATCGATGAGATACGGAGGGAAGTTGTGGGTCTGAATCTCTTTTTTAACCAGTCGATCGGAGCTCACTTGACGATGATGTACTTTCTGGAACATGTCAGGAAAAGAGTTTAAGAAGAGTTTCGTTCCGGGGTCGTATTGTAGGCGTAAGTGTTCAGCTTCTCAAGAGAACTTATTTTTAAAAGGCCAAGACTTGCTTGGCAATCCAAGCCTGGTTTGTTCTTTTATAAAACATCAATCTTGTTGCCTTGTGGTCATATTCATTACTTGCACGTCTTGCACTTGGAGATTTTAATTGCAAGAACCAAAATGGACATAGGGCGACAAGCCACAGAGGACTTTTCTGGAAGCTTACGGGGATGCACAGAGCCGAGGGTGGGGTTGAACCAGGAGACCCTGGAGGGCAGGAGCCTGGCAGCTCTGGAGGAACCCGATCCTTGGGCATGGCCACCGGCCCAAGTTCATTTCCAGCCAAGGAATCCCAAACTCCAGGGAGAAGCAGCCACAGCCTCCCACTGCGCTCCCCCCACCCCGGGTTCCCCCTCACGTGCTGTTTGGGCAGTGGGAGAGGAGAAGGGGGCCGCCCTCAGTAGAGTGCCAGCGCCCACGTGGAACAGGGAGAGGTGATTCTCTGAAACCGGAGAGAGTGCTTTCCCAGAAGAAGGGCAGCACAGCCCTTGAACCTGCTGTGCCTGGCCAGGTGCTGTGCTTGTACTCCAGACCCACCGTCCACCCCAGGAGCCTGGGCTTCTCCCCTTACACCATAAACACGAACTCTCAAAATATCCTTTGCCGACTTTATTGCAACATCTTTGGGTTCGTCCCTGCACTCCTTACTGATTTCGGCCCGTTGCTGCTACTTAGAGGCATGGATTGAACCAAAGGAAGTCAGACCACATGTTCTGAGGTCTGCCGAGCTTTGCGGCAAGTACGTCATTGCCTTTAGAAAGTAGCCACCCTGCCTGGCACTGCGCCCATCTCCTCACTGTGCTTTTCTGTTCCAGGGCCCGCCACTCCTCTGCTTCCAGGAGGACCCGCTGCAGCAGCCCCTGGAGCTGGCCATGGGACAAGTGTCCAGCGTGACGCAGTCAGCCCAGGAGAAGGTGAGCCAGGCACCGTCACCTGCCTTGGGCCTTTCCTCACCGAGGAAGCGAATTTAAAGTGGGGTTGGAGGGCTTCCCTGGTGGCGCAGTGGTTGAGGGTCCGCCTGCCGATGCAGGGGACGCGGGTTCGAGCCCCGGTCCGGGAAGATCCCACATGCCGCGGAGCGGCTGGGCCCGTGAGCCATGGCCGCTGAGCCTGCGCGTCCGGAGCCTGTGCTCCGCAACGGGAGAGGCCACAGCAGTGAGAGGCCCACGTACCGCAAAAAAATAAATAAATAAAAATAAAGTGGGGTTGGATAACTGAGTCACGTTGCTGTGCAGCAGAGATTGACACAGCATTGTAAATCAGCTAGACTTCAACTTAAAAAAGAAAAAAAGCTGGCGTGGGGGAATTTATCCTGTCTTAGAATTATTGAAAACGCCAGACACCTTACATCAAAAAAATAAATCTGACCCATCAACTTGATGACTAGATAAATAAAATACGGTGTATCCACGTGATGGAGTGTTACTTGGCCTCCTAAAGGAACGCAGTTCTGACACGTGTTCCCACGTGGAGGAGCCTCGAAGACACTCCACTAAGTGAGAGAAGCCAGACATGAAAGGACACATAAGATCCCAGTTATATGAAATATTCAGAGTAGATAAATCAGTAGAGACAGAAAGTAGATTAGTGGTGTCCAGGGGCTGGGGCCGGGTAATGCGTGCGGGGACGTGAACATTGACTGCTCAGGTGAACGGGGACAGGGTTTTGGGGGTGACAAAAATGTTCTAAACTGGTGATATTTGTACAATGCTGTGAAATATATTTAAAAACCATTTAATTGTATAGTTTAAATGGGTGAATTATCTCTCTCTATATATATAGTTATATAAATAATATGTGAATAATTTCTGTAACACGATATATAGATTTGAGTCATTTAGATATTATATAGAGTTTATTTTATAGCTGCTAAGAGCTCACATGCTGAAGTTACTTATTAGACTGGTCAAATACCATAAATAATTGTAAGTTCTTCTTTTTTTTTTTTTAACAAAAAGTATCTGTAGAAGTGCTGAGAAACTCTTAGGTACAAGGCTTACCCTTGTATCTCTGTATATTTTATTATCAAATTAAATGCATATCATTTAGCAGACAGCAAGGAGGGGACACCTGGGTGGCCCCCAGGCCCAGAAGGAGCTCCCATCCAGCCCCCTGGAACCCCACCTCTTGTGTATGTCCTCCGTGGCTCAGCTACAGCGTCGTTGGGGCATTTCAAACGTTTATTGTTCTGTGCGCACAATTTCAGAAGAACTTTCTCCTAATAGAACGTGACAGTTTGGAGGTTCATCCAGGTTGATTTGTGTCGCTCTAGTTCATTAGCTGGAACTACAGTTCAGGATTCTGGGTGGACCAGGGCTGCTTTTTCCACCTTCCACTGATGGATAATTAGGTAGTTTTCTCTTTTTCTCAAGTACAGCAGAGCTGCCGTGGACTGTCTCCTGAGTCCTCAGGCACAAGAACGGGAGTATCTCCAGGGCGGGAGTGGCATTCTAGGTTGTAGGTACGCACGCTTCAGCTCCACCATGGATTCCAGAATTGGCCGCCCAGGGGCTGGCCCAGCTTCCCCTGCCGAGGCAGCGCAGGGAAGCTCTCTTTCCCCACCCTTGGCCGATACGGGGGTCACAGAGCTCCACAACCCCTGCAACAAGCGTGGAGAAGTCTCTGGAAGATATTGGGAGGAAACTGGTGGCCACAAGGCAGGATGCTGCCACCGGCACAGCCCGTAACAGCTGGAAGGGGCCTTGTGAGCAGATGCTCCAGTGCCTAAGTTTCAAAGGCTGGGGGACTGAGGGAAAGATTGCTGCTGGCCTCACCTACCCAAGGCCCCTGCTTGGGAAGTGCCCCTGTGCAGTGAGTGCCCTGTTATTACAAATAGAGCCCAGGTCCCTTTGTGGTGCGCAGTTTCTGTTTGCTGGTTTCTGACACTGGCAGCGTTAAGAGAGGGACAGATCTCAGGGGCTGGCCTGGAGGTGCCGGGAGGGAGCAGAGATTGGAAATGGCAATAGACTATTTTTAAAGGTCTTGATATATAGTGCCGGAAAAGCATCCTTTGGAAAGTGGACAGTTAAACTGTGTTTGTTTTAATACCATTACAGAAATTGTGCATACCCGTCAAAAAGTTAAAAACAATATATAGAAGTGCGTAAGCTCTGTTTTAAGTCTGCCCCCTTCCTCTCTGCTCTCAGCCTTCCTTCCTCTGCTCCCCCCGCATAGGACCATGGACGGCTGTCCACGCTATCTTCTAGGAAGCTTTTTACCCAGTAAACTACTGGGAAAGTGCACACGATCTTGTGTTCTTTTACAAGTTTCTTCGTAGTTCTTGACTCCTGTGTTTTTTTGACCAGGGACCGATTTTGTGGAAGACAACTTTTCCACGGATGGGGGTGGGAAGCAGTGTAGGGGAGATGGTTCAGGCAGGAATGTGAGCGATGGGGAACGGCAGATGAAGCTTCGCTCGCTCGCCCACCGCTCATCTCCTGCTGTGGGTTCCTGTTAGGCCACAGACCGGCCCCGGGGTTGGGGACCCCTGCGTTAAGCGAAGGACAGGCGTTGTCCCAGGAGCTCGTGCTCTAGGACTGCCTGTCGGGCAGGACACTGATGACGGTGTCTTCCTCCTTTTAGGATCTAAACACCCGCCATGGGTTCCAAACTTAGGTTGAATCCTGTGCCAGCAACGTCACGTGCTCTCTCTGCTGTGTGTAATTCTTGAGAAGGGAAGAACCGTAGCAGAGTCTGAGGACTCCGAAGGTGTCCAAGGAATGCAGACAGGAGATTCAGTGACATCCCCCTCCCCTTTCCACGCTCCCTCCGGAGTGTCAGGGTCTGTGTTTCTCATCCCTCTGACTCAGTCCTGACAGGGGACGTGTGGATGACGTTTGAGGTAACGAAAGGGATGACTCTGGGGTCTGGTGTCTAGTCACGTCTTCGATCAAGTCGATGAGGATGGGCTTCTGGTCTCCCTCTGTGAGCATCTTCCCAGCTTGGGTTTGGTCTTGAGTCTCCCGGCACGACCCTCGCAGAACAGAACCGGGTCTCCCCTGCCTTCCAGTTGCCATGTGCTCGGACTTTTTCCTGCAGCCCCCGAAGACCCCCGTGTGCCAGAGCAGCTCCCTTTGCAAGTACCTGGCTCCTCGGCAAGCCCCCCGCCCCCCGTCCTGCACAGAGAGTGGGGTCTTGCATAGCTTAGAGCATCTGAGTCACGCTGCAGGACCCGTGGGAGACGCACAGTCCACACCCTGCAGCTGTGGCTGAACTGGGGGCTTCTGAGCAGTTTACTCGTGACTCTTCTGACACCAACTGTGTGCGATTTTTCTTGCACGCAACAAGCAGTCCTCCAGTTCTCAGGACGCCAACAAGGCGTCCTACAATTCAACTCGATTCTGGCACTAAGTACCCACACAGCACAGACCCTACAGGTTAAGGGCTCAGCCCAAGACTGCCCCTCCCTTGAGACGCCAGCCCCAAGTCTGGGCCTCCTGTGCCCACCAACTGGCTGTAACGCGGCAGGTCCCCACAGCCCCTTCCAGATGCTCCATCGTTTGCTAGAACAGCTCACAGAACTCGGGAAAGCACTTTACTTACTATCATCAGTGTCTAATAAAGGACGCGGCTCAGGTACGGCCAAATGGCAGGTACCTGGGACAGGGAAGGGAGAAGGGGTGGGGAGCTTCCACACTCTCCACGTGTGCTGCCCTCCCAGGACCAGAAGCTCTCCGAACCCCATTGTTTAGGGGTTTTCTGGAGGTTCCATTACGGAGGCATGGCTGATTAAATCACAGGCATGGGTGTGTTCCCTCTCTAGTTGCCATCCCCTCCCCTGAAGTCCAGGTGGCAAAGCTGCTACCCTCTAACCACGCATTGGTCTTTCTGGCCCCCAGTCTCCATCCTGATGTTATCTAGCTCCCCCCCACCCCGCAACCACCAGTCATCTCCTTAGTATACAAAAGACATTCGAGATTCCTCGGGCTTTAGGAGCTGTGTGCCAGGAACTGAGGACAAAGACGAGATATTTATCCCAAGAGGCAACCCGTGCTGGGGCAGAGGCATTTTTCTGAAGGAGTTCTCCCTGTGCAGGGCAGGACGCCCGTGCTCGTGTGGACTGGCATCCTTTCAGGTGGCGACTGGAGGCACCTCTGGGTCTCCAGGGCTCATGGTCTGCAGACACACGTTCAGCTTAGCCGGGTGGCAGACCCAGTGAGGGCTCGGTACCAAGAGGCATTCTCGGTGGGACACTTCTTGCGGAGGAGAGCATTGCCCTTCACCTTCTCTCCGGGGCTCTCTGTGTCCTCCCTTCCAGTCTCAACGCGCCCCCAGTCCATTTCTCTCTCCCAGACTGTAATTGCGCTCTTACACAAGAGTGTAAGCTATGTTCTCTTTCCTCATGTCCTAGGAGAGGTTTGCTCCAGAATGTTTGACCCAGAAGGAGCAGACTTAATTTTTCAAGTGGCCTGAGAGCAGCTCTTCCTTCTTGGGGTGCAGCTGTAACCCCTCTAGGGCAAATGCGTGGGTTCGGAAGCTTTGTGAAGGCGTGAGGTCTACAAGGGCAGCGTGGGAGCTCTCCAAACGTGAATCAGGGTTAGGAGTATTGTGCTGGGACAGGTACTCGCTGCAAAGGCCACACATGCACTTAGCAAGCGTGGCGAGTGTCCCTGTGAACAGGATGTATATGTGGACGGCTTGCCAGGCAAAGCAGGGGTCGCCTGCTGCTGGGGGACTGCAGTGACGCTGGCCTTCTCGGTGTGAGGCCCTCACTGAGCCATAGGCTTTGTGTCTGTAGAGGATGAATCCCTCCCTGGCCCCGGCCTGTGCAGCACCTGCAGGGCCCCTGCCACGTGATAGCTCTGATGCCGTCGGTCAATAAGGGCCGTGTCCGTCCTCATTAGTGCCCACAGCTCTTCTCTGCCCAAGGAAGCATTGTGCCCATTGTACGGAGGAGGAAACTGAGGCCAAGAGA